CCTCACCACGGCCCAAGTCTGCCTCAAACTATTGGGCCATATGGTAGCGTGTACATACATGGTCAGACACGTGAGACTTCGCCTTCGACCGCTGTAGGCCTGGCTGGTGACAGTCTACAAACCCATCAGACACAGGCTAGTTCATCTGGTGACGATCCCATCACAGGTCCTGGCATCCCTCATCTGGTGGACAAACCCTGGTTATATGCTGGATGGAATTCCCTTCATGACTTTACCTCCTTTGGCGACCCTGATTTTTGATGCCTCTGATCAAGGTTGGGGAACTCACCGAGGCAGCTTCAGTATGCAAGGCCTCAGGTCGCAAAGCAATTGTCACCAGCACATAAACGTCAAAGAGCTCAAGGCCATATGTCTAGCCTGCCAGGTTTTACTTCCATACCTACAGGGCAAGGTGGTTCGCATTCTTATGGACAATGCCACAGCGATGGTCTCCATCAACAAACAAAGTGGCGCTTGCTCATCATCCTTATGTCAGGAGGCTATCCAGTTTTGGGATCTTTGTGTACAGCACAACGTCCTCCCAGTAGCTTCACACCTCCCAGGAGTCAACAACTCGTTAGTAGATCTCCTCAGCAGGTCCTTCCCATCTCACCACAAGTGGTCCCTTCACCTGGAAGTGTCCAATATGATTTTCCAAAGGTGGGGGTGTCCCCAGATAGATCTGTTTGCGTCCAAGCTGAACAAGAAGTGCTGGGAGTTCTGCTCAATCCAAGGGTCCGAGGAGGGTTCCCTGTGTGATGCCTTTCTTCTCCAGTGGTCAGAAGGGGTCCTGTATTCCTTTCTGTTGATACCACTGGTACACAACATTCTCCTGCAGATAGAGACAAAGCAAAGGTCCTCATGATAGCTCTGGCATGGCTGGGCCAACACTAGTTCGGCATGTTCCTGGACCTGTCTATGACAACCCTATTGATCCTGTCTCTTTGACTGGACTTGCTCTCTCAGAATCAGGGCACCCTTCTGCACCCCAATCTGATATCCCTTCATCTAATAGCATGGCTGCTGAGTGGCTGAATGCCGACAAGCGGGCATGTTTGGCGCAGGTTCAGCAAATCCTGTTGGGTAGCAGGAAGCCTTCCACTAGAGCATCTTACCTAGCCAAATGAACGTGTTTCACCTGCTGGATTTCAGAGAAAGGAATCTCGCCCTCCGAGTCCCCGACTCAAACTATTCTGGATTACTTGCTCCACCTTAAGCAGCAAAGCCTAGCCCTTTCATCGATTAAAGTGTAACTAGCGGCCATCTCGGCTTTCCACCCGCCATGTAGGGTAAATCAGTATTTTCTCATGAAATGACAATCTGGTTCTTGAAGGGCCCGGAGAGGCTCTTTCCTCAGGTGCCTCAGTGGGATTTAAATCTAGCCCTCTTGCAACTCATGGGTCCTCCCTTAGAGCTGATGGCATCCTACTCCTTGCTTCTACTTTCATGGAAGGTTGCCTTTCTGGTTGCAGTCACCTTGACCTCAAGAGATCAGAGCCCTAACTTCGGAACCTCTGTATGTGGTATTCTACAAGGACAAGGTCCAGCTGCGTCCTCACCCGGCGTTTCTACCAAAGGTGGTGTCACAGTTTCACTGCAACCAAGACATATTCTTACCTGTTTTCTTCCCGAAACCTCACAAGTCCAACGAGGAATGCAGGCTACAGTCTCTGGACGTTAGGTGGGTCTTAGCCTTTTATATCAAAAGGACCAGACCCTTTCGTAGAACCACTCAGCTCTTTGTGGCTATAGCAGATAGAATGAAGGACCTACTGGTTTCCTCCCAGAGATTTCCTCTTAGATAACAGTGTACATTAGGTTTTGTTATGTACAAGCGGGTGTGTTGCCATCAGCCATAGTCACCACTCATTCCACCAGAGCGCAGGCTTCCTCAGCAGCATTCCTTGCACATATTCCAATTCAAGATATCTGCAGAGCCACTACTCAGTTCTCAGTCCATACCTTTACATCCCACTACGCTATCGCTCAGCAAGCCCGGGACAACGCCAGCTTCGGCAAAGCAGTATTGCAAGCCACATGAAAGTGAACTCCAAACCCACCACCAAGGGGTACTGCTTGTGAGTCACCTACATGGAATGGACATGAGCAAGCACTTGAAGAAAAAATGGTTGCTTACCTTTCCTAACTGTTGTTCTTCAAGATGAGTTGCTCACGTCCATTCCACAACCAGCCCTCCATCCCCACTGTCAGAGTAGATGGCAAGAAGAACTGAGAGGGCACAAGGCCGGAGGCACCCCACGTACCGGCACATGAGTGCGGGGCTCCAGGAAGCACCATAGCAAGCCCTAAGGATACTGCTAAGGAAAAAATCTCTGGCTACCGTTCACATGGGCACGCACACACCTACATGGAATGGACTTGAGCAACACATCTCGAAGAACAATGGTTACAAAAGGTAAGCCACCGTTTTTTCCAGTGCACCATGGCCTTAATTTGTGATACCATGACAAGCAGCAGCTATACCAAGTCTCCAAACTCTTGTGTTCCCTTTCCTCCTCGCTCTAGCACTGCCCATCACACCTGTCTTCAGTCAGGACACAGTTCTCCCCATCTCTTTCCCACTCTAATCAAGTTTTTCTTGATGTCCAGAGTGACATTTTATGTGGTCCTGTTGGAAAAAAGAGGAAATTGGCTTAACATTGCAGGAGGTTTTTTCTTACCATCTGGAATCCAAGGCACAGCAATACAATTTCTCCTTCACCAGTGTTCCCTACAGGCGAATTTACAGATTTGGCACTTAAGATGAAAAGTGTATGCTAAAAGGAGCAAAAATTTTTTGCAGATATCTCTGTAATAGACCTTCTCCAGGGAGGGGCTGAATGGATTCTGTACATTGTGCAATGAAGACACTGTACACAGCATGTGCACAAATATATGAACATCCATGTGTGAGCAGAGACCTTTTTATGTACACATGTGCATAGCCCTCACATATGTATGCTTCCACTTGCAAGTGTTCACTGCTATGTGCAGTCAACAGTCACACATATATTCTTGAATATATATTGACTGACACCATCTTGCTGTGTGTCTGACTTACCATAAGCTTCTGTCAGTTTCTAATATGAACAGAAACAATGGCAAAATAGCCCCTATATTTCTGAATCTAGTCACTCTTTCCTCAGATGAAGATGGGCTTAAACTTTTGAGAGTGGCTATGAATTAAATGACAGAGAAACAGATGATTTGTTTACGGTTTTCCTGACAAGTAGTCTACCTGTAGTTTGAATTCATTTTAATCTTTCCTATCTGCTTCCTGCAAAATGCTATCATTTCACAGCTAGCTAATACTGGCAACCCCCATGTTGTTTGGGGATCAAAACGCCCTGTCTTGGATGGATATTACTGAGAGATACCTGAATGTTCTCTGGGTTTTTAATACTTTAGCAACACTTGTGAGGCTTGTATTGCCAATGAAGTCTCTGTGAATTGGATACTTCTGCTGCATGGTGGAGTTGCATCCCTGGCCCAACTCTCAGGGACATCTCCCTCCCTGCCTAAACATTTGTAAGGTGTCTATCACTGTAGGCACAGTCCCTATTAATTAATTTGTTCTGGTACCACCCACAACATACGAGGTTCAGCGTAAATCTGATGGAAAGAAGAGTCCCAAGAAGTTCATAATTTTAAAAGACCAACAAACTGACACAGACTGTGGAAAGGGACACAGCATACAGGGAAAGTGGTCATGGTGGTGACTTTCTTTATAGACTGTCCTCAATTCCTTGACCATTATGAATCAGCTAATTTCTTGTGGGTGTTGTGATGGAGGCTGTTCTTCAGGGGAGATTAAAATGCAGAGAAAGCAATGAGGGAGGGGGATGTTCCATGCAGATGGGGCAATGTGGAAGAAAGAACAGAGTCGGTTATGGGAGAAGTGGAGAAATAGGACAGCAAGGCTAGTATCACTGATGGAGGGGAGGAGTTGGAGGCAGTGATGTGAAGAGGCATGGTAGATAAGTAGAAAGAGGTAGCATTATGTCGAGGGTGCTGCCTAGTGATTAGAACAGGGAAATTTTTTTGATTCTAGCTCTGCTGCTGATTTGATATTGGATATGTGGCTTTTAGTCTCTCTGTGACCCAGTTCCTGCATCTGTAAAATGTGGATAGTGCTGCCCTGTGTCACAGGGCTGTGAGCATTAATCAGTTAAAGTTTGTAAAGTGCTCGGAGGCCCTTGGATGGTAGGTGCTAGACAAGAACAAACTATTATTAGCTATTATAATATGCAGCCTCCAGTACAGCAGCACATCTCTGGCAAGGACACCTCTCTCTTTGGGGTGCATCTCCCCCTTCGTATGCTGCAGTACAGGAGCACATGAAACCTCTCCTCAGGATTCCTTTAGAACCTGCAGTGATCAGATTCCTTTGGAATGGCCAGGCCATGTTTGATTGGGGATGGCCAGTTTTTTTTATGCATTTTTCTTACCATTGGAGATTTCTGATTCTTCCATTAATCTTAACTTTTCAGAGTGCAAACTGCTGCCAGGAACCTGGAAATGTAAATGCTCACCTCTGCACCCAAAATGTAGTGTGATCTCTTTATGAAATATTTAATGTCACATATTGGTAGCCAGGGGCCAACCCAGTGAGAAAATAGATTTGTGTGAAGAAAAGATACCAGCTGAGAACGGGTTAATAACTAGCTTGCACACTCTCCTCCTCCTTCCTTATTTTTCCTTCCCTCCCCCTTCTCTCTTTCTTTAAAGCCTTGACCACAGAGTGAAAGGAGGCGGGGGATGGGCTTAGAGTTTGGCTCATGTCCTGCACAACTTTTTCCTTGTAATACCAGGAAAGGCACCAGCCGAAAGTGAGGGGTGGCTCTGGAGAGGTTGCAGCTCTTGAGCAGAGATCACAGGGCAGCAGCATAAAGAGAGCCCTCTGTGCTTGTCACCAAGGGAATGAAACCTCCTGACTCCCCCTCCCGGGCTGATTTCTTTCCTCTCTTTGTGTTTGTTGAAACTCCTCCCCATGGTGTCAGGTTTTCCTGAAGGAAGCTCTTGAACAGAACCTGGAGAAGGATCGGGAAGAGGAGTTGAGGAAAGCGGCTATAGTCATCCAAGCCCACGTCTTGGGCTACATGGCAAGGTCAGTGTTCTGGGCTGTCTTTGCGTTTTCTCCACCTGTCTGCTTGCAGTCTCCCCTATCCTCTCCTCTACTCTAGGGTATTCTCATCAGCACTTCCACTCTTCTGTTCCCCCCACCCTCCAAATCCATGGGCTAGCCTCAAAATCTGTGTTTCTGCTGAAATCCTTGTCTGTGCTGTAGTCATTTCTTTGACCACTGCAGCCTTCTCTACCCCCTGCTTCTTACACCCTCCTCTGCCCCCACCCCCACCCCCTAGTGTGTTAAACATGCCGCTGCAATGACCAGGTCTCTCCACTGACTCTCTGCCTCTTCAGACTCCTCATCCTCACCTTCAAGGGTCTCCAGAACTCTGCCCCCTCTACCTCTTGGCTCTCAGCTCCCACTCCTCCACCCTTAACCTACCAGCTTCACCTAATGCTCCCTTCATCTCTCTTCTTCCCCTCTCCCAACTCTGCCTTTATTACCACTGTCCCCAAGGCCTGGAGCAGCTTCCCTTCTCCTATTTTCCCAGGGGCCTCTCTCTCCTTCTTTAAGTCACGATTAAGAACTTACTACTTTGGGCTAGCCTTTCACCACTGATCTCCTCTCAGCTGCTCCCTTTTGCCACTACTGCTCCTAATCATAGTAGTGTTAAAGAAAAGCTATTACAGAAGAGCCATCCCCTCTCCTGCCCCTTGAAGTTAATGTAACAGCTGACTCTTTAATGATTGTAGCACATGCTGCTTGCCAAAATAAAGCAAAATGCTGTCTCCGTGCCTTCCCCTCTCCCCTTGTCTGGGTGCCTTTACTTGCTGTGCAGTCTGTGTAAATTAGAGTGTAAGTTCCTCATGGCAGGGACATTTAAATAATAATAATTAATAATCAGAAACCTCCAGATATTTTGGGGAAGGAGGGGAGTTATCACATTGTAAAACATAATTTCTAGGCAGCATTGCTAAGGGAAAACTGCAGTGTCTGTTCTGTGACTTTCCTGGAAAGGAAAGTACCCAGCTACTGGACTGGGAGATTGGGATGCACACTGTTCATCTAAGTTTAGTCTTCAAATCAAGCAGTGCTGCTATGGTCAAAAGGAAAAATCCTTATACAGCGGCTGGTGGCAAATAAGGCATTGCAGAGGGAGGTAAAGAAGCAGAAAACAGGGAAGATGAAGGTTGGAGAAAGTGAAGTTAGAAAACCTTTTTTGTGATAATTTCAGTGTTGCACTGCATCAACATTAGAGAGGCTCCAATAGAAAGGAATTAGTATGGGACAAGTCCAGAAAAGGTTTTGAGTGAGTAAGGCAAAACTAGAGAGTGCTGCCATGTAGCACTTAGAGCTTATCAGTCACCAAGATTATGTAAATTAAGCAGAGTAAGCCTGCCATGAAGAGTTAGATGTTCCAGGATTTTACTGTCATCTTTATCCATATCTTCAGGGACTGATTCTGAGAATTGGGGAAAGAGGCCTAAGGGATGAAAGGTTACATGGTTGGCTATACACTCTGCTTTACTTTCCCAGAAGCTCAGGGTGTCTGAATGGTCACTAAAGTGAAATATCTGAATCAGAAAATAAACCAAAGTGAAAATGCCCCGTTTGTTTAGCAGACCTGCTCCCTGTGGGACTCCTAGTCACAGCTGCTGACTCCACCAACTAAAATAAGTTTTTACTTTTCTTAGCCCTGCAGGACCTGTGGAGAACTGGTGCTGTAAACTGGGCTGTGTCCCTGTTAGCCTCACAGGACCTGCATGGGTTTGGGGGAGGGAGCCACACTCCGTCCCCATGTGGCTTCTCTGACTCTTGGAGGGGGAGCCAAGCTTTAGCCCAGTACCTTGCAGCATCAACAGAATAGATAACTAAATTCCAGATGCCAAATCAGGGCCCCTGTCCCCTCTGTGTTTTATATATGAGTAAGGGTGAAGTGCAGGATCACTGTATTTCACGGCCCTCCTGCATTGGCTGCAAAAGTTGGCTTTACCTAGGGTTACCATATTTAAAAAAACAAAAAGAGGACACTTCACGGGGTCCCACCCCTGCCCCTTCCCCGCCCCACCCAACTCCACCCCTTCCCCAAAGTCCCCGCCCCAACTCCGCCCCCTCCCCTGAACGATCCGCCCCCTGCTCCTCCCCCTCCCCTGATTTGCGGGAAGCCTGAAACAGGCAGGCAGCAGGTAAGCTGGAGCTGGGGCTGCGGCAGGGGCGGTGGCGGGGGGGCGCGAGGAGGCATGGCCCAGTCCAGCCCCCCGGCCGAGCGGCTCTGGCCCCGGCATCTCCAGCCCGGCTCAGGCCCTGGGGCGCCTGCCCCGGTTCCGGCCGAGCGGCTCCAGCCCGCTCCGGCGGCTCTGGCCTGGCTCGGCTCAGGCCCCGGTTCAGGCTGAGCGGCCCCAGCCCGGCCCCGGCCCTGGGCGAGTGGCGCCGGCCAAGCACCCCCAGCCCCGGGCCTGGCTCGGCTCCAGCCCTGGTTCCGGCTGAGCGGCTCCGGCCCGGCCCTGGCCAAGCGCCAGCCCCAGCAGCTCCGGCCCCAGGAGCTCCAGCCCCACGACCCCTCCCTATTTTCCCAGATATGCCCGGCTTTTTGGAATTTCCTCCCGGACAGGGATTTGAGGACCAAAAATCCGGACGTATGGTAACCCTACTTTACCTTGGGAAGTGGAGGAAAGTGAGCAGAAGGCTCTAGACGGGATTACATTCTATTGCCTGTGTATATCTGAGGTCAGGTTAGATTATCATAATGGTCCCTTCTGGCCTTAACCTCTGACAGCAGAGCTCATAGATATTATCAGGAAGAGCACCATGGAGCTGAGTAGGGCTTTGGCATGGTACTCTCAGTGGAGCTTTTGCCAGATGCCTTTTGTAAAAGTCTGTGCCTTTTGTCTTTGTCCACCTTAGAGGAGGCTGAGTATGCAGCTGGCCACCCTCTGTATGAGGAGAGGCACTGGGAGAGAAGCAGGGGGAAGAGACAGCCCCCGACCAGTTTATTTAAACCGGCTTCTGTCGCCCTTTCTCCTTCCTCCCCTCTCTGTAGCCTGCACCCAGCTGCTGCTGCTGCTGGCAGAGTTGTCCCTTGGGTACGGCGAATCAGGGGGACTGCTCCAGGCCCTGCGCTTTGCGAGGGCCAGCTCTTCGTGAGGAGGTGGGCGGGGAGGTGAGGCAGGGGGGCGAGCAGGGTGAGGAGGCGAACAGGGAGGTGGGCGGGGGGGAGCAAGGAGTAGTCCCCCTACCAGAACCTCCCCCCAGTGCCTCCTGCCCACCGGCAGGCCCCACCATCAGCGCCTCCCTTTCCCTCTCAGTGCCTGCTGCCTGCCGCGGATCACATGTTTCGCAGCATCAGGAGACGCTTGGGGGGGAGAGGAGCGAGGGTGCTTGGGGGAGGAGGCGGAACTGGACGGGGGAGGGACGGGAAGAGGTGGGCGGGGGCAAAGCAGGAGTGGGAAGAAGCAGGGCAGGGGTGGGGCCTTGGGAGAAGGGGTGGAGGGGCAGTGGGGCCAGGGCGGAGCCAGGGGGAGCACCCCCCGGCAGATTAGAAACTCAGTGCTTATGTCCTGTGTCGTCCCCCCGTTTCTTCCCCGCCCCCCACGGGACGGCCCTGGCTGCTGGAGCCCTGGTTTCATTGTTGTTAATGTTGCACAGTCTCAGATGCTTATGCTGGCCCTAGGGGATCATTCTCGGGTTGTGTTTGAAATTTCAAGGTGGTTCAGTGACCAGCAAAGTGGATGCTAGGGGTGTTTTCCTCTATAAAGATTCCAGGAGGTCTGTGCGAAGGGCATACAAGTGTGCTAGGCTGGTAGCTTCCCAGAGATGTGCATGTAAGATTTGAGGCGCATGAAACTTCCTTTCTAGTGGGTGACAATCTGTCCTTTATCCCCTGGGGATCTCATGCTCATTTTCCCTTTCAACAAAGGCAGATATATTAAAGCAGCTCAAGAAGGGTCACTTTGGAGACAGGAATAAGGTGGCAGATGCAGGAAAGAGGGCAGCAAGGAAAAGAATCTTCACGTGGTAGAAAGGGAGGGAGAGACTTGTGCCCTCTATGGGCACTGGAATGCTCACATCATTTGTTCAGCACTTTGGTACCCTGGGGAGCCATTCCTTAGAAACACGAGAGACATGACTGTCATAGAAGTGGTCAGTGACTCATGGCCCTTTAACTGTTTGGTTTTGTTTGTAGGAAGAAGTACCGAAAGGTCCTAGTCAGTATTGTGACAATCCAGAAGAACTATCGAGCGCACTTCTGGAAGAAAGCCCTCCTGCGACTGAAGGCGTCGGCTGTTGTCCTGCAGAAGCATTGGCGTGGCCAGCTGGCTCGCAGCCTCTATCGGCACCTACTGCAGCAGGAACAGAGGCGGAAACAGGAAGTGGAGGAGAGGAGAAGGCAAGAAGAGGAAGAGCAGATCAGAAGGGAGGAAGAGGAAAGACAATGGCAAGAAGAGGAGGAGCTTAGGAGGAAACAGGAGGAGGAAGAAGAGAAGAAAAGGTACTGGATTATTTTTCACAGCTTTAGTTACATGGCTGGCTCCTAGTAGTGAATCTGCCAAGGTGTATAACTAGGTCTGAGGCCCTGGCATGACAACAGTGCCTTCAGGCCATAAGGAAGCAGTCACGTGAGACATCACTGCAGTAATTTGGATACATGCACAAGTCTCCTTAGGACAGGATTTACTCCTGGGAGCATGCTACACCAAAAAATTAAAAATTCTGTGCACAATCTTTTAAAATTCTACTAATTTTCTTTGTCAAAATAACACTACATAATCACTCCAGTTGCAATTAATTTGGTAATTTATTTCAAAATACCTGTCAGCAAGTATGTCTGTAATAATACGGACACACACAAAAGCTCCCCCAGGAGTAGAGAGTTTAAAAAACCCCAATGACAACCTGGTTCCTCTTTCTCTGCCCCCTTCCCCCCCCCCCCTCCCCCGAGCCCAGCTGAGGGGACAGATACCCACAAACCCTCCTCCCCAGAGCCCACCTTCAGCCCCCCCAGTCCAATACACCCAACCCCCCCCCGAATCCCCTCCTCACAGCCCAGCTGTTGGGCCCCCCCCCTTGTCCAGACGCCCGTCTCCAACCTCCCCTCCCTCCCCAGAGCCCAGGGATCCAGAGGGCGAAACAGCCTGATGCTCGGTCCCAGGCTTGCATGGCGTTTCCTGTGTGCTGCCCTCTCTTCCCTCAGAGCATGCTGGGAACTGCAGCTGCCAGGAACCCTCTAGCTCCCTGTCCCTCTCCCCAGCAGTGTCTTCTATGTGCAAGCTGGGTTCTGCCGAGTCCAGTGGCCCCTAGTGGTAGCTAGCAGCCCTGCAGCCCATTTCTGTGGAGAAAAGGAAATTCTGCATGCACAAGATTAATTTCTGCAAAATTCTGCATTGCGCAGTGGTGCAGAATTCCCCCAGGAGTAAGGATTGGAGTGGGGTCAGGTGGCTCAGAGTAGAAAAGCTGGGTAGGTATGGGCTATCCCGCATTCATTTGGAGAGTTAATTTACTGATTCCCCTCCCCCAATGCCCTTCAACATTGTTCCTCTTTGTTAATATGAGGAGTGGATTTTAGTCACTGGGCCAGGAATAAATATTTTCCTCCTACCTTCCCAATGTTTCGTGACTTCTGAAACATCTAAGATCAGCCAGTGTCTGAGATAGGGTACCAGCCTTTATCAGTCATTGGTCTGTCCAGTATGACCAGTTATTCAGTGAGATGGATGATTGATCTCTGTTCTGGTATTGCAGTTCTTATGATCTTATCTGCTTGCAGTTCCTTTGGATAGTTTGAAATGCTTCTGAGCTGTGCTTTTTTAGCACCACTGCCCTTGCTCTATCACTCATCCCAAGAAAGTGTATACATGAAGATGTCATGGAAGTGCCTGGAAATAAGAGCAAATGTGCAGGAAGGGAGCAATCTGTGAATAACAAGAGGCACACCTCTCCAATGTCCCTCCTTTCAAGGGATGTCACTCATTTTAGTTCCACAGTTACCTATCTTCTACACAAATTTGGTGTCCACTCACTTTTATTGTTGACATCTGCTTACACTGGTAATACAGAATCATAACACTGAAGTCATAGGGAATGAATCCCACACCATTTTAAGCTTCCTGCATGAATAATTGTTTTGTCCCCCTCACTTTGGGTCTTTGCCACATATGGTGTCCTGCAATTGGGCTTTGGCAGGTTGAGAGGCATGTGAAGGGGTCACATAAAAATCAGTAGGGAAACTTGTTGCATGGAAAAGGAATCGCCTACCACCCAGTAGACACAGCAAGAGGAGATATCTATTGGATCTAAGTCTGGGTCCTTACATTTCCTGAGGTCAGTGCTCAGCTGTTGAATTTAAGAACTTAACTGGCAGCTCCAGCAAACAGAGGCCCCATTTGACTGATACACTAGTACAGTAACTCCTCACTTAAAGTCGTCCCAGTTAACTTGTTACGTTGCTGATCAATTAGAGAACATGCTCGTTTAAAGTTGCGCAATGTTCTCTTATAATGTTGTTTGGCCACCGCCTGCTTTGTTCACTGCTTGCAGAAAGAGCAGCTTGTTGGAGCTAGCTGGTGGGGGCTTGGAACCAGGGTGGACCGACAGCCCCCCTATCAGCTCCCCGCTCCCCTAAGTTCCCTGTGCGGCAGCCGCCCAGCAGGCTATCAGTTGCTGGCAGTTCAGTTGTCCCTGTGCTGTGCTGCTCCTGCCCTCTGCCTTGGAGCTGCTCCTGGGAGCCTCCTGCTTGCTGTGCAGGGGGT